CCTTGATGGTCTAAAGGCTTAGGACGCTGACCCGGAAAGAAAGAGATCTGGATTCGACTCCCGGCCGAGACAATATTTTTCGCAATAAGAATTAATTATAATAATATAGACCGACAAAATTTGGGGGGGGGGGGGTCTTGTGCTTTGAAAGATGTTTCCGTAAGATTTTGATGCGCTGAGAACGACTACGAATTATGTTGTTTTCCATCATCCTCCATTTATTAAGTACAAAAACACGTACTTAATATACACGTATACATACACCTATACACGTATATATAAATGTAGAATTGGTATCACTCTGTGGCTAATAAACTTATACCAAAAATAGTTACATTACACAAATATCTATTGAATTCAATAAGACAAAAAGAATTACTATTATGTAATTTTACTCCTTCTTCTTCTATTAATTGATACTTACGAATGCGTTAGAAATATTTAATGCATCACCAGTCATTTAATTGTTATTTGTGCAGAAATTGTTTCTGATTCACGAACTGTAGTATTAGAAATATGTACTTGCATGTAAATGTGTAAAAAGAATATTTTACAGATTACGCATACTACACAAATTGTAAAAAATCCGATTAAATGGAAAACATTTTCAATAAACGTTTAAATAAACGTTCAAAAAAAGCACATAGCGCGATATACGAGTATAACTATTGAATACAATTTACTTTGATGGCATAAATCGATGCGAGATGAATGTAAAAAGAAGAGCAAAAAAAAAAAGAAAATCTTCAATATTATTGTGGGATTATCAATTGCGAGTCGAATATGTGACACTATAGGTTTCCACGTTGGTAGATTGTATAAAGCCAATATTGTCGTAGTTAATTAACTCTGTGCGGGACACGTAATTACATGAATGTAACGATCCATCAAAGCAGCATGCGAAGTAAGAATTGGCGATGCTCCATTACTCAAAGCTCGTCGCTCTGAAATAGATAAATTGAATATAAAAAGGATATAAATTAAACAAAAGGGATAAATCAAAATATTACGAACAAAATATTTTGCCATGTATTTCCGTGTATTATAATTTTTCAATCTCACTCGTCTTTTTTCCGGAAATTATCTCTTGACATTTGTAAGAGCAAAAATTTGGACAATAGTTAGTTGAGAATTGTTTGCAAGTCTTTACGTGCCATGTGCAATTTGTAAAATATTTACAATGATATGTGATTTTGCGAGAGCATGGTTTTTTAATATTTTTGTTTGCGTCGGAGTAATCAATAAAGCTCGTAAGGAGAGATAGAGAAAGAAAGAGATAACAACGCGAAAACGGCGATGTCGGGTACAGTCTTCGCTTCTGCGCACATTCTGCGATAACTTGACCTGAGTAGCGAGACGGTGGATGCATATTTAAATAAAATCAGTACACATGAACTGTGTACAGTCTTTTTTTACTAACTGCTCTTAATTTTCTGTGTACAGTAAAGTATACCCAATCATTATTAATAAAGGAGCACGTTTTTTAATGACATCGATTTTTTGTTGACAAAAATTATTCACTCTAAATGAATAATCTATTAATCATAGTTTTAAGACTTTTGACATTAAATTTTCTGTCAAGAAAAACTGTGAAAGAAGAAACCTCAAATAGACTCCCACGTAAAATTAAAATTAAATTTAGATTAAAGTTTCGTTGTCCGCGCGTCTCTAGGTCCGTTGTTTAATTTGCTAAAACTTTTTTGCTTTCTAGGTAAATTTATAATACTTTAGCGGATAAAACTGTATAAAAAATATTTTAGATTAATTAAAAAAATTTATTTTAAAGCAAATATATTATAAGCTTTATAATAAATGAAATTATGGTTACTTATCACACTTAATGTCATAAATAATATATACTATAAATCATTCTTTGATTAATTAGTAAAATTCTTTCTTTTAAGGGCAATCAAATATTTTCTTTTATTTTGTAAATGTCTAGTTTAAACATTATATAATATTAAGGTACTTTCCAAAACTAGTATTAATGAAAAGAGTTGTCCATAGCAACGTGATGTCGAAATACGAGGTTTGCAGTCGCGTTTAACTTATTTTTGTTATGAAAATAGGTTATTTACCAATAGTTCAAAATTATTTGAGAACTGAACACACAGCCATGAATTAAAGCGGAGCGGCTAATATTATGCTTGAGTTGTTAAGGTAAAGGCTAATTTTTTAAAAAAGGTAAAGAAGGCGCTAAGAATATGTGCTTTTTGAATAAAACTTAAGTATTTAATTTAATTAATAATAATTTTAATTTTTCTTCAAGAATATTTATTATATTTGGGCATTTGGAAGATCTAGCTTTGATCGTCATAGGCTTGAATATGCTTATACTTGAGTGTATAAAATTCTTTTCTTTCTTTTTCCCAAAATTAAAATTATTCTCTTTCTTATATTGAAAACTATTTTCTTGTATTAATTTGATTGCTTTTGCCCTCGCAATTCTCAAAGATGTTGTCCCCTCTAACTGAAGCACCTTCTTTACGAATCCGTCGGATAAAACGGAGACGAACTGCGCGCACGCGACTTTGTCGCGTATTGAGAACATGCTAATTCAGGATATGCTAATTGAGATAGTCTTTCGATGTCTGAGACGAAAGAAGCAATACTCTCTCCAAATTTCTGCTTACGATTAGTGAATTGAGAGTAATAATTCTGTAACGATTGCGCGCTTCGCCGAAACGTAACTCTAATCTCGATTTTAACTCTGAAAAATCTAAATTCTTTAAGTTTTGTAACGCTTTCCAATACCGCGCGCTTTTCCTCTCAAGCATGACGCTAAAACGGTAGCCTCCATGTCCACCTCCCAGCGGTTCGCATGAGCGATCAAATCAAATTGGGCAAAAAATTCCCTCAGAAGAGCACTTCCGTCAAACGTTTAACCGTTTGTTTTCCCATGAAGCGAAACGGGATTCCACGCGTTCACACGTATTCATATCATTTCCGTTGCGCACAGAAAATCGCGTAATATTGCGAAGTGAGACAACGCGTTCTTGCGCATTCGTGCCGTTTCCGCTGCCCGATGAAAATCGTGTAACATCGCGATCGCGCGCGTTTGCGGTGAGATTTCCGTTATTGGAAGGACTTATCTGAGCGTTTCCGCTGCGAAGTTCCTCTCGTAGCCGCTGGATCTCAGCGTCGCAGTGATCCTCCAAGCAATTGATACAATCGATCAGCGTGCGCTGATGCAGTGTTGTTAGACGGGGCCGGGTTTCAGTCTCATGCGCGTCCAACGTAGCTTCAGTAACGTACTCGTCACTAGTAAATAGAAGATCATTAATCGCTTAGGGCATCGCATGAAAATGTTGAAAATTTTAATATATTTTACATATTTTACATATGTACACATATATTTAAATATATATAATATATTTCTATATATGTATACATATGTAAAATATATTAAAATTTTTAACATTTTTGAAAAAATTTTACATAGGCGACTAATGATTTACTAGTGAACGGTACGTTACTGAAGCTATATTGGACGCGCATGCGTCTGAAACCCGGCCTATCTACACCGCGCTGATGTTCCTTACGCATTTCATTTTTCCTCCGTTCCATTTCAGCGTTGCGTCGTGAAAATTTTGCGTATTCGGCTCTGCCTTTTATGTTTGTGAACTCACTGACGTGATCGGACATGTTATTACGTCATTATTTTTGAAAAGTGTGACCGGCTTCAAACGCGCAATTGAATTTATGCTACTCTTTTAGACTTTCATATTCTGCATATTGTTTTTTGTTACTCACCGCATAAGCGCCATTTTCGATTCTGACAGTATCGAACTCTGTGTTAGAGTCTGAGCCATTCTCATGCGAAGAAGAAGAAGATGCGTATTCGGCTCGTGCGTGCCATTGCTCCTCTCGTAGTTGTTGCATCTCCCGCAAAAGACCTGCCTAAAGAGCGATCGTCGTAGGTGACATTTCTTGTGACATCCTCACGATTGACACAACAGGAGATTGCTCTGTCGACGTGTCGCTGGGCAACGCGACTTTTAGGACTTCACGATCTACGTCGGCACGACATGGGCGTAATAATATTAAAATATATTAAATTAGCTAATATTAAACAAGAACTATGAATTATACTTATAATTGAGATTATACTTGTAATTCTTGTTTAACTAAAAATAGAAAAATAATAGTAAAGAAAAATATTAAATAGTCCGCAAGTCTGGCGTGCCCTTGCCTGTCTAATAATATATTGTCCATTTTTAAGTCAGTGTATAATGTGATGTTTATCCAGAAACTGGAGCGCGAGTGTCATTTCTGCTGCATAGAAACGTGCACACCGCTCTCCGAGTTTTTTTGGAAGAGTCTTATCAAAATGATATTGTAAATCACCTGAAACAAATCAAGAGATAATAGCAATATTCAAATAAATAGTAGATGTCTTTCACATTTTATTATAAAACAACAATTATTACCTCCACTCATGTAGTCTAACATCACAAAAAATCGAGTATCGGTTTGAAAGAATCCATGTGTTTAATAAGAAAGGATGTTTTGTTGTAAGGATTAAAACGTTCTTTTCTATTATAATATAGTTTATATCTCTTTGGTTTTTTATTTCACTCTCTTTTATGATTTTTACGCTGTTAATCTCATCGGGATTACTATTTAGTTCGGCTAACATCACTTTACCGAAACCGCCTCTACCGAGAACCTTAATAAACTTAAGGTCATCTATACTAATTTTTCTATTTTCATTTTTGTTAGATAAGCTTCTTAACTGCGAATCATCTTTGGAGTTAGTTGGATCTCTTTGATTTAATTGTCGATCAACAACTTCAGCGTTAGGTAAATCGTTCCTACTTGCGCCCGATTTGTCTGTCTGCAATTGGTAAAAGAACATATTAAAATTTTTATAAATTAATTTCGATGACAATATACAAAAGTATTAATCGGATCAACTCATCTACAATTACAATATACATTACTAATTCAACCATGTTATACCAAGTCAAATTCAAAAACGTATATAAAATGTAGATTCAAACCAATTCTTCGGTTAACAATGAAAAAGGGTAGTCTGATCACTTTGACTATTTTTTGAGGAAATTGCCCGTTTTTAATACTCATTTTTCCGCTATGAATATTTTTGAGTGGATTGTTCATTTTCAATACTCATGCGCCTGATTTGTCTGTCTGACCTCTTGAAGATGTTTTTATCATTTTTTATTTCTTACTGCTTTTGTACTTAGTTGGATCATTGTGTTTCTTAAATTTTATTACATTTTTTTGTCTGCTCTTCCGCAATTGTCTCAAGAGAAGTGAAGGGACTCTCCGTAGTGTGTCGTCTTAAAATTGTTTTATCTTTTTCTTGACTACATTATTGTTTTGTGGAATTCTTTTTTCTCCTTTAATCTAATCGGAAAAATTAAAAAATCACCCTTATAAAAAGTTTGTACCGTTTTTAGAGCTCATACACTGCAAATCTAAGTGTTTTATTTTAAAACATTTAAAATGTTTAAACCCTTGTAGTCGCTTGTTAATTGTTTAGAAGCGTTTTAAGTCTAAAAACACATAAAGTGCTTTTTCAAAAACACTTTATATGTATTACTTTAACGGGAATTTAAAGTATTTAAAGCGTTTTAAATATTCAAGCATTTCAAACGCATTAATACATTATTAAAAATAAAATGTTAATTTTAAAAACTAATAGTGGACTTCCTGGGCATGCAGAAAATTAACATTTTTTTGTACAAAAATTTTAATTTTAACATTTTCGCGTGTCTCGGAAAGTCCATTCTAAGTTTTTTAAGTTAAAATTAAAATTTTACTTTTAACAGTATAGGATACACTTCATATGTTTGATATACGTAAAATAATAAATTTATTTTTGAATGTGAATTTTTATTTAAATATTATAAAGATGTATTTATGTATATGTACATTTATCCAATATCTAAAATATAAATGTATCTTATTTATAAAAATATATTTTGGAACTTTATATTATAAATGTTAGTCTTAATTCTTAATAATTAAATTGCAGAAGTAAAAAAATAAAAACTTTTTTGAACTATCAAATTTTTTTGAAAGGAAAAATTGACTATGTCTCTTTAGCTTTTTGTGTTATCAATATTTAAAAATATTTCAATTTTTGTCAGAAGTGATCTTCTGTTCGCATTTTTCCCTATCTCTGTCGCATAAACTTTAGAGAAACTTGATTGTTTTTAATTGGAGCTTTAATCATTTTGTAGTCTAAATATTCTAATATGTTGCGGTAAGGCTTAGGAAATACAGTACGCCACATAAGTATGTTAGCAAACAAGTAATCACTTTTTCCATAGAAGGATTATCGATTTTTACATTAACATCTTGATCGGCCACGATATTCGCAACTCTAATGTCCTCTTCGGTAGTGTAAATGACGCGCCGTGGCGTCTCCTGTAGTAAGATCCTTTGTAGAAGAACGGACCTATAATAAATGTATAATATTTTTATCTGAAGTTAACAACATAATTAAAATGCATAAATTAATTTTTCTGGAAGCATACTTCTTGTACAATAAATAGCGGATTGATAGTTTTTTTTATTTCTTTTTGTTAGCTGAGATCATAGAGATTTATAATAATTGAAGTCTTCGATTTTTTGTGATTTTCTTTAATGTTTTTCTTTAATGTTAAAGAATATATTAATTTAATGTTTTAAAGTTGGCAAAAAACTTTCTGATATTTTTTTTTATTTAAGTTTTTTAGATTAAAAAATTCAAAAAGTAAATGCAACAAACAAGGAATAATATTCTATAAATTAAAAATTATAATATTTATTACTTATCATTTACGTGACAATTTGATATATAATTAATGTTCAAAAAGATTTACCAAATCACTGTTCTTCAGTTGCGGATATTTATCCACTACTTTACAAATTGATTTAGCATCATTTTCAATCTAAATTCGTCGTTCTTTCAGAGTAGTTTTTAAAAGACAAAGCGAATATGAGATATATTTCCTTCTTTATTGTTTCTTTCTAACTCTTTTAGTAAATTTTTTATATCAAAGTCAGATTGAGATCTGAAAAATTAATCATAATATCAATAAAAATAATGTCCTCAGAATATTGTTATATTATTTATGTGACAATATATAGATATCTTTCAATAACTTACACTTCTTCAGTGATGAAAGCAGCTTTTGAAGTTAATGGAAGAATTTGGCCTTTAAAATCCCTTTTTGCTACTTTCTTTAAATTTGTCCTGTGATTTCTTATTCAAGAACTGAGTGTAGTTCTAACAATGATCTTTAAGTTTAAATAGAGATTGATATCATAAATTAACACCGAGAAAAATTTTATTTAAATAATTTCAATAAGATTTATTGAAAATCGTTTCTTTAATCTAAAAAATTCACTTTATTTATTTAAACACACACGCATGTACACAGCTTGAATTCATTAGAATAAATATAATTTTTGCAATTAATTTAATATATGTATATACAATAATTGAATATAAAAATAAAAAGTTATTACAAATCTGAATAATTTAATGATTTATTTAACAATTTAATGTTTTACTTTAAATAAATATTTTTATTTAAAGAACCAGCAAAATGATAAATTAGTAAAATTTATATTAAAGTAATTGTATTTGCTTATTTTAAATAATTTTTTCCATTATATGAACTATAATTGATATGAAATAAATTAAAAAGAATAAATATAATACTTATGGAATTACTATCACTTGTGCCTAGTGAAGGAAAAGCTTTTACAATATTATTTGTTAAATTTTGATAATTCCGTTTTGAAGGTTGTCTTGCCATAAATACGAACCCCAATGATACATTAAATCTTTCTGTACAGCCAAGACATCAATTGTTTTTAATTTCTCTTTTAAGTCGAATATTAAAAGAGGTAATAACGCAGAGTGCGAAATAATTCCGGGCTCCTCAAGAGTCCAATTAGGAATTGATGTTAATTTACTTGGGCCTGATTCAGGTGTTGTCTTTGAAACATTAGTTAGGTCAGAATTTGTTTTATCTGTACATTTTGAAGTTACAAGAAATATTAGTATAGTAGGACTGCATTAACTGCATTAAAGAATAAATAACATTAATCAAAATTACAGCTGTACCCGTATCAACGTGTTTCTCTATGATTATAGACTCAGTATAAAGAACTTTTACATCCATAGGCAATATTTCTTGATTCGTTGATATTTTATAAGGTAAAAGAGACAATATTGATTTAGACATTGATGATAAAAAAATAACATTTAAATCTGCTTTATCAGGTATTTCATCATTCTCTTCTACACACATGTCTTTGTCTGAATCCTTCATTTCTATAACAATGTTTTGTTATGTATCATCATATTTAGAAATTGATCTCGCATACAAATATCTCGGATTTTACGTTTCGAATAATGTCCACATCCGATAAATCTTTTTTAGACACAAATTTAATACACTTGCACCGTTGTCCTAAAGCACATTATATCTTTTTCTCCATTTTTATTCTTATTTTACACACAGCACACTGTAACACAGCACACTATGCTTTTGAAAGACGAAAGCACAGGATTTTATATAAAATTTTGCTTGCCACTCCCGCCAACATGACGATAGGACATTTTTTATCTTTGTTGTTTACCCAATTAAAGGATAAGGTGATACACGAAGACATCCGAATATTCGGGTAACATTTCCGACGCAGCCATGTTCTTGGGATGAGGGCATGCAAACACAGATTCATACACGATTTCGCATGCTCCTTCGCGCGTGACCAATTTGTTATAGCAACGCTCAGTCACGTGATCAAACAGCTCTTTATAAGATTCTTTCAAATCTGAAAATATTGTATTATAAATTAAAAGATCCTACAACACAAATGCTTCATTTCCAAGATGTTCAAAATGTATATGCTGATAAGTATCCTCCTTCAATTCTTTTTTCGATGTTAAACACAAAAAATGCCTTGAATAAATTTCTTATTGAAGAAATGCATATACTACCTGAAAAGAAAATAATTTCTACAAATTTGGAGTGGAAAAAAAATAAATCCACTGCACAAATAAATTTGT